AAGCTGCTACGTAATTTCTTCAACCTATTAACTGGTGAATAGTTTCTAAGAGGCACTAGCTGTTTCTGTGCGAGACCGCTTTTGATCAGCGTTCTAGGGGCGTCGTAATGTTCTATGGTACCTCGACGACCTCATTGAGCTCGTTACGTGAGCCATGTTTCCGTGGGAAAATCTGATGTTGTCGGTGTAGAAGGCTGTTATGTAACCTTTTCGATAGAATAGATTGTGCTCTTCAATACACAATTAAGCTCATTTGGTTTGGTTTTGCAACGTGTATTCGAATCAGTTTTGAATGTGGAGGTAAGTGACTCTTTTTTGGACCCCCCTGTATATGTGGTGTGTATGGTTTACGTGTGTATATGCGTGCGTGTACGCGCGTGTGTCACAGACCAACTCACTATTATTTGAAGATACATCTGAAGAGGTCGGGTCAAGTTAGGGATGTATATGGCATGGGCCAGGATGTTCGAGGGAACACTGAGTCAAGGGGAACCCGCCCCCCTCCCTGGGTGTGCATGCACTGGAATGAATTTCTAAATAGGTTGAAAAAATGGATAAAGCACTGTACACCGCAGTGCACACTGATGCAAGCTCGAATTAAGGGACCGACCATGGCTGGGCTTGATTTGCTGAACGAGTGGAGTCTTCTCCTAAAGGTCTTCAATTCGATTACCGAAAAGTCTGCAAAGCAGAACGAGTAGAATTCAGTGTAGATGAGCGATGTTTGAGGTGTACCATACACACTTCATGAGAGCAGATGCTTGCCCGCAGTTGGCAGAGCGTGAACTCATGTGTACAAGTTCTCCGATAATTTTCATATGTCGGTTTCGAGATGGAGCAAAAGCTTGGGAAAACTGTATTGAGGATAGTGAATTAAAAGAGTCCGAGCTTAATCTTGTGTGCACCGAACTGGGTGGAGTTTGTTACGAAAGACTTTACTACAGCTCTCAGGCAGCCTACAGACAGAAAAAAATGTGACTTTATAGCTATCGAAAGGAAAAATACCGGATGCTAATGGCGATGAGGGTTGCACCGAGATAAGCGGAGCCAAATTTCAAGATTCGCAGTATTTCGCCTGCCCTGCAATAAGGCTGCGGGACTATGAAACTCTAAGAGCTGAACTAAAGACTATGAAAGCAGCCTAAGACGCTAGGCGCTTAGCACCTCGATCCTCCTATAGCTAGTACGATCCCTGCCCCCACACCACTCAGAATCTATTCATGTCGTAATGTTGACCTGCTGTGTTTTCTTTTGCTGACTTCTCTTTCTTCTCCGGCCCTCATATTATCTCTTATTTCGGTGCTGCTTTTTGAACTTATCCATAAAGCGGAAAGGCTCGTATTTTTCTTGTTTTTGACTATTTCTTTTCCTTTTTTCTCAGCTGACGGTCAATATGCATTCATACTCTCATATTCAAGTAGGATCACCACATGAATTTTATCCTGATTCTTGCCTTAACACTTTGACGACAGCGTGACGCTAACGCGTCCCACTTTGCACCCCGTGGGACATTGTGACGCGGTCCACCCACGTCATCCCTTTTTCTTGCGCTTGCGCGATTTATTCTTCAGCCCTGTGCTCACATCGGGTCACATCCGTTGACCGTCCGCCCGACCACTGAAGTTGAACTACTACAAATCCCAGATAGGAAGCTAGCTCCCCTGCCGATCGAAGAAGGCGACGGGCTAAAACAGAGACGAAGGGCACAGAAGGCCATGCCAAAATAGTGCCGTTGATACCGGTAGACGATTTTTGTTTCGCTGTCACCATTGTGGTCGCTCCTCGACTCAATCTCGGAAAGATAACCTCAGCTGTCTCTTGCTGAAAGAGAGAAATGAACAAACAACGATTACTTCTCGATAGGTTCCTGAGCAGGAGCTCCAACGCAGCGCTCGCTGGACTTTTGCCGCGGTTTGCAAAGCGTACCTGAAGAGGTCGATGTGTAACAGAAGATCCTAGAGCGTGAGCGATCGACATGCTAGGCAAATTTCATTGCTGCTGAAAATGAAGGGTAGGTATCATACAACATTCCACACAGCAAATTGCAATGGGCCAGGAAACCGGCAATCAACATCGCCTGGCTGCCTTTCTCATCGTATTCACATAACTGATGACCTTAGCTCTGCTGATCAACATCTCTTCAAGAGTTCACAGGCTCGAAGAAAGAGGAAAAATGTAACAATAGCCTTATTTGCAATTATTGGATGAATCGTTTTTGTTCTCTTTCCTTCTGAAAAGAGGGTATCATGCTCTGAATAATTGATGGAGAGAGGTCACGGCTAAGGAGGGTTACTACCCCGATTGAAGATCCTACGCTTTTTCTGCTGTAATTATGTGCCGGATAGAGATTGAGTTTTCTCAAAACTTTTAGGACATCCTGATATAGGAGGTTCCGATGAAGACTATATAGGTTGGGCAGCGAGTTGGCGTACAAAATCAGATCCTGAAGGTCAATAAATCAGCTCAGTATAATCATAACATCTCAAGTTGAAGTTGCTGATCACAATACAGTAATGGTATAATAATATGTTGGAGATGTTTTCAGTTAGAGTTGGGTTGCGATATGAAGAATAATCCCGAAAGAGTCCCGAAAGATAATGAGTCCCGAAGGAGCTAAGGATCTGCGAACCTTTTTTGTATACACTTTTCTATTCAAGACACAGTATTCAAGCATCAATGTATAACGTCAGGTGAGAGCACTTTCTCCTGGATGTTGATTACATAATCGAATCAGGCGCAGCTTTTTGTGGGTCGAGTTTGAGGAAGCTCCCCTTTTCAGTTTTTACCCCTTAAAAAACGTTTTTTTGAAATTATTAATGTGCTATCAATGGGTTTTAGTGACAGTCGCTCCTAGGAACAACTGATCATCTGTAGAAATTTGGCAGACGTATGCTGGTGGCCTGGGATTTGATACACAAAGTGTTCATGCGGTAGCGGCCCCCCTTGCCACCACACCATTTTCTTTTGAATGGGTATTTTCGAAATATAATTTAATAATAACAATAGCAATTGAATCACCTTTAAAAGTACGCATTTTCACATCTCATTCGTGAAACAAAGCTAATGTCCGGTTGGTGGCACACGAAAGCAATTCCGTAGAATTTTTAAGAAATTAAAAAAAAGATTAAAAAGAAATTCGACTTGGTAGAAATGCTTCGAGTCCCACCAGCTCATCCTGCTCCGCCGGATTTTTGTCGTCTTCCACTATGCAAAAGTCCTCACCATCATAAGTTGTCTGATTCCACTTCTGCACCGTCCGAAGTGGCGGAAACATGGAGGTTGAAATCTCCAATACTGTCGTGAAACATCGCGTCATCCTTTGACTGACTTTGAGCTGATAAAATGCCGCTGTCATAGTTCTCTTGCTTAAGTTGCACCTGATACAATAATTTATTGTCGGAGATAGAATTTTAGTCTTTATTTGTGAGCAAGACCGCCTCAAGCGGGCGCTTCTACCTTGGAGGCAATGTTCGGGATTCTGGTAGAATCTTAGGTTTTCACCGTCAAATATGCAATGGACGATAGTGCCGAGCAGGTGCAGAAGTGGTGAGGTGATTTGACAAGACAAGGCTGAGGCGTTAATGGTAAGAGCCAATGACGGAGCGTTGGCGCCGCCCCGATCCCATTGAGCCCGCCCACCGTTTCATGTGACCTTCCAAATAACCACATGGAACACTAGATGTTAAGCGTTATTTGGAAGGCTGAAGCAAACAAAAAAAACAGAGATAAAAAGAACAAATGGGAAACTTAAAAACGATCGATTTTCATTGCTGACTTTTTGTGGCCGTGTCGGTTGCTGGCACAAAACTAGAAGTTGCTGTAGACACGTCCAGACACGTAATCCTCCCAGCCCTGGCTTCTAGGCGAGTAACGAGAGGAATTTCTACTTCTAGACTTTTTTGAAGATGGTGGCGGTGTCCGCTCCTCCGAGCGGTGCCACTAAAAACTGCCTTCTTTGTGGGCTGCTGATCGCGGACATTCGAATGCAGGCGACAGGCCCTCGTGACAGGCCGGCCTACGTACACCCATGTTACATCACAAATGTTAGTCGCTATGTGAATTTATTTATTTATTTATTCATTACGTTGCATAAGGCAATCGTGGGAAATACAATCGTGGGAGATATAATAAATCACTCATGATACAATTAAAACTCATTAGTATCTCAACTGAATGGCAAAGGAAAATTCATCACATCACAGAGGGAGGATCAGGAAGAAAGTCAATTTCAAGATACTACGAAACTTCATATTTGAGTAGTTTTGCAGATATCTTCCTTTCGAATTCCATGATAATGCTACGGCGTCTGCGGAAGCCGACGCACACGTGCGCAAAGCCCGGGAGTGTGAAATGTATGCGAGGGTCTCCGGTGCAAGGACGGCTATCACAGAGCACCCTTCAAATTGCTCAAACTTGAAATCTCTACCTTTCATCTCATTATTTTTCCTCCGTTTCCTGTTGCTTAAGATCTCATAATGAATCATAAAATTACTCATCCGCTTCGAACGCACGAGTCGTTACAGGAACAAATTTACCTGCGTTCACTGGCTAGGCTGTGGCTGCTAGGCCTTGGATTAGCTGAAAATTGCTATGTTAAAATGGTTCTATGGGTTTTGGTTGTAACGAAAATTACTCTTATAGCATAGATATTAATTATAGTGTTGCTTTCATTTGTATTAAGTTCCATTGTAACTGATGTTGCAATGTATTTTATGCATTCTACACGACTGTCTTGTTCAGTGTATTTTAATAAACAAACCAACCAATCTTAAGTATAATTTCTACCTCAGTTTTCTTTCTTACCTCGGTGACGTTTCGTTTTTCTGCCAACATTTCCGCTGGGTCTTTCCTCCTGCGAGACGTTTCAACAACGCCCAGAATTTGCTTCTGAAAGTGAACCCTACTTTCAGTCACCTATTTTTCTCGTTCTGTTTCGATAACAACGTGACCGCGAGCTATCAGAATCTAGTAACATAATTTATTATTTCAGGTAATACAATATGCTGAAAAGGATAGTTTTGGCGTTCTTCGCTATTGCACTCGCAGGACTTTTCGTTGATGCACGGTTTTTGGTAGGCTCTTGACAATTGTTAAAGGTGGACCAAATCATGCCCTACACCCCTTCGAGACAGATTAGGCTCGCAAAAACGGCTAAGCCTTAGATCACTCCGGAATCCGTTATTTGTAATTTAAATTCAAATTTACCAAGGGAGATAAAATTATTGAGTGGCCTATTCGTGAGTAGAGCCCAACTTTTCCCTTCGTAGAACCACGCCGTTTATTGACTGCAATGTGTTCTTTCGCCGGAGAGGTTTTTGGTGGGAACATTACTACCGGCTTAGCCTTAGCTTAGCCCGGCTCATTCAATAGCAATCATATTCCCATACAGTTCTAATCACTGATTATTCCCGCCAGTCCCTCCTTCTACATAGAATCTAAGAGAATAAGTATTCAAAAGATACGAATAAGATAAAACTGTAATGAGAGGGTAGTAATCTAGGTCGAGCTGAAGCGTAAGGTATTAATGTTGCTTCAGAGCAAATGCTTCTCTGTAAAACTGAAGGTTAGAGAGACACATGAAACGGATCAAGGGTTAAGAATCTGGGAATGACGAATGACGCAGATGTATATATGATGTTATATATGAACACTTGTTAGAAATGTCCCTCGCTTTGCATGAAAAAACAGGAATAAACCTAGATACACGAAAGATTCTAGAAATATTATCAGTGCTACAATCGGTAAGTTAACGCGTTCTCTTGCATTGCTCACAATTGGTGGTAGAACGAGTGGATGTAGAAAGGTTCACATCTCAGATTCTCAATATTAAGATTATGCAAGAATTTGTTTATTTTTTCTAGGACGAGCCGTATTTTTTAACATCTCGAGCTTATGTCGACAGACCGTCCCCTATGATGCCTTTTACGGTTCCACGTAGAGAAATTAGGCAAGGTGCGGCCTGATTTTAACGTACTCAGAATGCATTGACTGTTATTTTTATGGAATCATGATTGCAATTTCAGCCATCGAGAACCAACCACTTCCTTGTCGTTTCAAGCTGTGCGTCACTTTCTACTAGATGACCGTCTCAGTCCCGCCCTATGTGTATAGTGATCTTTGTATTATTGTTATATATGAACACTTGTTAGAAATGTCCCTCGCTTTGCATGAAGAAAAAAAAACAGGAATAAACCTAGATACACGAAAGATTCTAGAAATATTATCAGTGCTACAATCGGTAAGTTGGCGAAATTCTCTGAAAAGCAGTTGGAGGCAACAAGCGCTTAAGTGAATGTGCAAATATTGTGGCCAGTGGACGAGGTCTGTCAAAATCCAGGACACACTGGCCGTGACAAATACCGGTGCATTTCATACCAAAATATAGCGATCGTGGAATCAGAAACTGTTCCCAGCAGTTCACACGGGCCGCTTTTGGTATGGTGCATAAGTCGAAGGGAAATCTTCACTGTCGAAAGCACTCACTATATCCAGATTCATCAACACTTGCTCCCCCGAAATAAAGGATCTCCGAAGAAAAAGAATCAATAGCCTGTTCTAAAAGCAGTGGTGATTCAGGAAGGGAATACATCTGAAGGAGGAACACCTCGTTTTATGACAAACATTAAAATCGACCTTGAAATGTGTCATAATTACTTGGAGAGAAATTATGTTGCTTTGAGCCCAGAAACACTTTCAAGAATGTTAAATTTGCTGCAATTATGTTTTGTACTGTATGCCGAACGAGGTTTTTTAAGATGGAATCTTTATTGACTGGCCTGACGTTTCGACAGCTTCGTCTTCTTCAGATGCCTGGAGATAGTCTGAAGCTTTTGATTCGTTAGCTACTCGATCCACCGCGCACAGTAAATACTACGGCAGGGTGAATAACGGTCGAGGAATTCCTTGACCATGGCTCTCTACTGTGTGAGAGTAGTGTCGAGAGTGAACGAATGCGCGGAGACTACAGACGGCTCGCAGCTGGCGAGAGTCAGCATCCGCGTGGAAGAGCGTGAAACAATCCTCGACAAGCCATTGTCTTTCCCTCAAGCCATTTTCACCCTGTACTACCGAGCACTCAGTATGAAAACCTAACTCACCGATGATTCCACCGATGCGGAGCAGTAGCTCACGCCTAGTTGCTTAGTTGACGTCAGTAAAAAGAATGAGCTCTACTCGTCTCGTGGTGCCATATAATTTTCGAAATCTGTCAATTTGCACGTCGCATTGATAGCTCGCACTTCGAGACAAAAGGCAAGAGTTCATTCGTAATCGACGGACATTCGTTCCGGCCATTCATTCTAGGTTTTCCTTGCGAAAATCCATGAATGATTCCAATGCTTTTCTGGAGTGAAATCTCAGTCTCGAAACGCTAACACAGACATTTAACATCAAAATTCGTTCCATTGTGCTCCTCAATCTTGTGCTTGCAAGTGGTGTAGTTACGATTACCACGCTCTTTCCCAGCTAGATGCTCTTGAATACGGATATTAGTGCTCTCCCAGTTTCTCCAATATACGTGCTAAACATTACCATACATTCAAGTTGGTATAATCACCCCACCTAACAATGCCCTAACGTGCCATTTGGGCAGACGATACAGTCTGAAGTCACGCACTGCCCGTCATACAGTCTGTTCGGACGAGCTCGCGTTTGATATTGCTATTAGGCCGTTAACTAATATAACATCATCTTGCAGCTGAGCTCTTACAATACTGTGATGTTATTGCAGTGCTGACTCGATCGGAGATGAAAGGGAGGCACAAAGGTAATTTTTCTGGCGTTGTTACGTGTCGCTGTTGGCCAGCACTCGATCTCATGCGATGCATTGGTGACCAGAATAGCCGTTTTCCGCCAGTATTTTCAAAGCTAATTGCTTTGATTCCTGTCGTTCTTCATCACCAGAACATCCTGGTTGCGTTGTGACCATGTTCTTAATGACTGCATTTTTTGACTGCACCAGATGGAGCTGATGTTGCGTGAATCAGATGTTTTTGCAACTAGGTTTCGATACCACTTTATGCTAGCAGTGCCATTAGACAACTTTGATTTGCGTATTCAAGATAGGGAGCGCAATCGTTCCTTGGTACTTTCGTGTGAGCTTGATGTATGGGACTGCTGATTCAGCAGTCGGAGCCATCTCATCATTTCAGACTGGTGTTGATGGTATAATTAAACTTGTCGATATATCTGCAGTACATCAAAGGCAAGCGACTCAGTACTGGTTCTTCAATTTTGACGACCATGGCAGTCACGCGAATTAGCGCCAGTACTGCCGTGTGCTTCATGACAAAATTGAAGAACTCAGGTTGCCTTTGATGTATGCAGATATATCGACAACTGTTTCATTATAACATCAACACAGTCTGAAATGGATGAATGCTTCCCGACTGCTGAATCAGCAGTCCAGTACATCAAGTCACACGAGAAGTCAAAGGAACGATTGGCTGCCCTACTTGAATACGCAAATCGAGTTGTCTAATGGCACTGCTAGCATAAAGTGGTATCGAAAACCTAGTTGCAAAAACATCCTGTTCACGCAACATCAGCTCATCCTGGTCCAGTCAAAAATGCAGTCATTAAGAACATGGTCACAACAGCAACCAGGATGTGTTCTGGTGATGAAGACGACAGGAATCAAGGCAATTAGCTTTGAAAATAGCTGCCGGAAAACGGCTATTCGGTACCAATGCATCGCTAGATCGAGTGCTGGCCAACAGCGACACGTACAACGCCGAGAAAAATTACCTTTGTGCTCCCTTTCATCTCCGATCGAGTCAGGCATGCAATACATAACAGTATTGTAAAGCTCAGCTGCAAGATGATGTTTATTTAGTTAACGTGCCTAATAGCAATATCAAACGCAGCTCGTCCGAAACAGACTGTATGACGGTCAGTGCGTGACTTCAGACTGTATCGTCTGCCCAAATGGCACGTTAGGGGATTGTGTAAGTGTGGGGTGATTTACACTTGAATGTATGGTATGTTATAGCACGTATATTGGGAGAACACTGGAGAGCATAGGTATCCGTATTCAAGAGCATCTAGCTGGGAAGAGGCGTGGTAACGTAACTACCACTGGCAAGCACAAGATTGAGGAGCACAATGGAAGACTTTGATGGTAAATGTTCTGTGTTAGCGTTCGAGACTGAGATTTCCTCAGAAAAGCATTGGAATCATTCTGATTTTCGCAAAGGAAACCTAGATGAATGGCCGGAACGAATGTCCGTCGATTACGAATGAACTCTTGCTTTTGTCTCGAAGTGCGAGCTATCAATGCGACGTGCAAATTGACAGATTTCGAGAATTATATGGCACACGAGACCGAGTAGAGCTCATTATTTTTACTGACGTCAACTAAGCAACTAGGCGTGAGCTACTGCTCCGCATCGTGAATCATCGGTGAGTTAGGTTTTCATACTGAGTGCTCGTAGTACAGGGTGAAAATGCTTGAGGGAAAGAGAATGGCTTGTCGAGGATTGTTTCACGCTCTTCCACGCGGATGCTGACTCTCGCCAGCTGCGAGCCGTCTGTAGTCTCCGCGCATTCGTTCACTCTCGACACTACTCTCACACAGTAGAGAGCCATGGTCAAGGAATTCCTCGACGTTATTCACCCTGCCGTAAGTATTTACTGTGCGCGGTGATCGAGTAGCTAACGAATCAAAGCTTCAGACTATCTCCAGGCATCTGAGAAGACGAAGCTGTCGAAACGTCAGGCAGTCAATAAAGATTCCATCTTAAAAACCTCGTTCGGCATACAGTACAAACATAATTGCAGCAAATTTAACAACCAAATGCGAGGTTCCAAAAAGGACGACATGGAAGACTACTTTCAAGAATCTTTGCTTTGCAGCAGGACTGATCCAGTTCACGGACAACCACATATGCCTCTCTGCCAGGGCCACCTTTTCCGGTAACTCATGATAAGGAATGTGGCTAGAAACTCTCCAGATTAATCTAGCGACTATTCTGTATTTGAATATTTATGCAGGAACCTCTTTTCAATCTTTGCAGTTTTGGACCGGCCTAAGACACGCGCTTCGAGAGGGAGAAGATACATATCTGTAAGACGTGCTACCCACGGCGAACGCTCGGCCAAGAGACTTACAAAGTTGCATTCTGGCTGAAAAGCAAGATTTTGAATTGCGCTCAACCATTGTTCTGTATAGTGTTATTAACTACATAACAAGTGACACTCATGCAATTTTAGCGATGCCGTTGGACCAGAGGGTTACGCCGACTGGATCCCTGGGACGTCAAACACAACACGTCAACGAACCGCCGGCCCGACTGTCCAACTTCTTACGAGTATCTGAATGGAAAGAGAATGACGACTTCGTGTCCCTCGAGCAACAAGGATCCACCGACCACTGCTAAACACGCGACAGGACGAATGGACGTTGCTGGCGCCCGCTCGAGCAACATGACGATCAACGGCGACAAGTCGATACAGGTGTTCAACTTACTATGTCTCATTGGAAAAATCAACATACATTTTCATAAAAGATTAATTCACAGAAGCATACTTTCTAGTGGTCAGAAAATGGTGTCGAGGAAGTGTCGCAGAAAGTACCCCCTCGGGAACACAAGTCTTTGGCCCGACCGCCCTTAAAACAGAGCATATCGCAATTGATTCAATTGATTAAGCAAGAAATTCGCTCGAAAAATACTTTAACTACGGCTCTCTTGTCATCATATGCCTTTCTTCACAGAAAATCAGGTTCGAGGAAAGACGGCATTACTTTCCGTGTTGATTTCAAATGCAGGTTTCTAGAATTCAGAAATGACAGAATCCTCAGCATTGAATCTTGAATTACCTCCGAGTAATCACAACACGCATAGTGTATCGATCAATGAACGGATTCAACGGCTGCCTGGCGGCCGACTTGTCCAATTGGTAGATTTCATGAATCGCCCAAAAAAAAGCGCTTGAATCAACCCCTACGATGACATTTTCCAATTCCGCCATTTCACAATCTTTCGAACACGCACGCGGATAGCGTTTGAAAGAGGCTAGATTTGCTATATAGCAGCATGGAATTGCTCGGGAGCCTTTCGTTCGGAGAGATATAGTCTCTCA